TAGCGGATAATTATTACCTTTTCCACCCCTGTGTTAGTGTTATAATCTCCCTCCACATATTTTAGGCTCTTTGGCTCTGCACTTATCATTTCTACTTCCAGAGAAGCTCTGTCTTAAAATGTTTGCATTATACCTAAACCACCATCTGTAGGATTGGGAAACAGCGCCCATAGTGACAGGTGTCAAGTGACTGGAGTGTAAGGTGCTGCTGGACATCCATCCCCCTGTCAGACCTCCAAGAGACTCTGGGGCTGCTCTTGAGCTTGTTGGGGTGGGGGAAGGAGGCGACAAATGGGCTTGTTGCACATGGGGCAGACACTGCGGATCTCTAACCATTTCATCAGACACCTGAAGAAAGCAGATAGATGAGACATGTTACCATATTTAATCATTTCAAAAGGAAGACAAAGTAAGTTACTGAGGTAGGTCTCTAATGTTCAAAAAGCTCTTTATTTTTCTCATACTTCCTTTGCTGCAGCTACACTCTTCAACCTCTGTCTTAAACCAGAGCCCACTAAGAGATGTCCCGCCCCTTAGCCTATCACGTACAATGTGTTGCAGCGCTAGCCAATAGAAGTGCAAATGTCATGTAGTTATGTCCCATGTTACGGAAGTCAAAAGGAGTCCAATGGAGGCGTTTAAGGCATGGAGGAGTGTGTGGGAGAGAACCTTCCTCTGAGGGAACTTTGGGATTTTAGCCTTTGCAGACCATTTACATGCACTAAAACCTATATAGTAAACTACAGGAAAGGGAAAACCAAAAAAAGCACAATGAAACCTCACCATGTTGATTACTAACCTGAACACATTTTTCATCCCAAATGTTTTGTTAAATGCATATTAGTATATAACTGAGGCATTGTGTATGGTTTAGGCCTGTTGAATGTAGGAGAAATCTTCAGATGCAAACACCTAAATATACACAAGTAGAGGTGCATTTTGACCTACGATTTGCAGTGTATGAAAAAACCTGTTTTTCTTCATCAACAGATGCTAACAGGACTGAACAAACAGATATACAGGATCTGTACACAGTTCAAAGATGCTGCTGACACAGGTGGGAAAAGACCGGTCTGAAAGCACTATACGTTACACCTCCGCTGCAGGGTGAAAAGCGGTCTCTATCACTTTAAGCATGCTGCTCAAACATGCAGCATAATGTTGTCATGAATTTAATCGTCATTTTCTGAAGAGCAGCCTCAAAAACTTGCTCAATATCTTTTTTGCTCAGAAAAAAAAAAAAAGAGCATGAAGGGGAATTTTGTGTGTAAATCTGGTTCCTCAAGATTTTTCCATATAATGTCTTGAAATTTTTTTAAGAAAACAAATATTTTTAAGGGTTTAAAAAATGATGAGCAATTTGTGAAAAGCCAAACAAACTAATCATGTCTGGTGTTTTTTTCTTCTGGTTTTTTACGACTAGGAGTTTGAAACACAGTTTGCAAGTTCACCAAAATATGTAGTCCGCTATTATATGAATACAAGGCAGGAATATAGAACTTACTTCTTGTGAAAGGCGTGAGAACATGAGCACACTCCAAGCTCGTCCCTGCTGCGGAACTCGTCTAAACACACCGCACATGTTTGCTAGAAAGGAGAAACGACAGGTTAGGAAAACAGTTCATAATCAACACCTAAAGTATAGGTAATATCCTAAAGAAATCAGAATCGTCAATATACAGCATTTACAAAGTCTGAGCAATAATGCTTGTTCACCTACTTGTACTGTGGGATTCTTTACATAAATAATCACCAGTAAAAATTCTCCATGAATAAATTTAAAAATTTAAAAATTCATCTTAATACTCAAAAGTATGTATTTTCTTACAACAACACTTCCTGGAATTAAATTGATAAGCTATAGACTCACTACTTAGTATTTTCTCATTTTCTCATTGTCTTTTCGATATTATTATTTACGATTGAATCGGGACATAGGGTATAAGTCAGCCAGAAGAACGTTCACATGACTGTCAGAGCCACCTTTAAAAATAGTCAGAGTGAATATACAGTATTACCTTTTCATTATGGTCAGGTAATACTTGACAAAATAACTCAAAATAGTAGAGTCAGTATTTTTCTGTCTTATAATAATAATAATAATAATAATCCTTATATTTATTATAGTGCTTTTTCAATGACTCTCAAAGCACTTTACAAATACACATTACACATACAGATCATACATACATGTAATGGTCATAAATGATTATGTTTTAATCATTTATTTTCTTATTTCCCTAAATGCATATTTCTGTTACTATTTTGCCCTGTGTTAGTATTAACTCTTATACATTTTACATGTATTACTATGTTGGGGGTTTTATTCTTATAAAGTTATAATTTCTGAACAATCTCTGGTACAAGATTGTCTTACGTGATTAACCAAATTCGATCTAATTTTCTCTTTTTTTGTTTCCTAAGAATGGTAAATTAGAAGGAATATCATATAGCAATCATTCATATTTGGTTGATGCTTTAAGGGGGCCATATTATGCTAATTTTAAGGTTCATATTTGTATTTTGTGCCTCTACCGTGACTTTAATGTTCAAAAACGTCTTTTTTTTCTCATACTGTCTGTTTTTCACCCTCTGTCTGAAACCAGAGCCCAGTCTGCTCTGATTGGTTAGCTGGCCGGCTCTGTTGTGATTGGTCAATGGCTTAGAGTTGTCCCGCCCCTTAGCCTATCACGTACAATGTTTTGGAGAGCTATCCAATAGAAGCGCGAGTGTAGGGATGTTATTATGCAGTAAATCCTTGAATTATACTGCTATATTTTCACACTATTATTGGACAACATTGCCAATAATAGAAATTGAAAAATACTTCTGTTTCCATTTTAGTTACGCACATTATTTAATGTGTTCGTAAAAATTGCAGCAATCAACTAATTTGAATACAAGTTAAAGACACAAGTCACCAACCCACTAAATCATTTATTCCACATTGATTTAGCCTATTATTCAACTTACCCCAATAAGGCTCAGCTTCTTCCCCGCTCCTTTCAAAACAACCTGTGGAAGAGAATGAGACTTGTGACATAATGTATATTTCACCAGATAAAAAAAGCAGATTAAAATAGTTTGAATTACAATTCAACTCAAACTGGATATAGTATAAACATATTACCTCATTGTAACCATACTGCTCTCTTGCACCTCTTCGCCTGAGTCTGTGAAGCAGAAAAAAGACGTATCATGCTGTCATTTAGAGTCATAAAAATGATATTATGTGCATGACTCTCCACATCTGTATTCCTCACGACATGTCTCGTCATGCTGTAGGAATCAGCTGAGAGTCAAGAAGCCCTGGAATTCACACAATGCCAAATTCAAGTTACAGCCTGTGCATCTATACGCTCACCGCAAACAGGCTGTAAAACCTTCAAGAATGTGCCCTTATACATGAAGAAGAATTCTGACTGTAATCCAGTTCAGTTAAGTTGATTATAAGTTGTTGAAAGCATAAATGGATCAAAAATTCTAGGCAACTCTAAATAAATCTAGCTTTACAAAATGGCTTTTTTTATTTGTTAATTCTAGAAGCCAAACAAATCAACAAAACATCAGCTCCTTAGCGAAGGTAACACTTGAACAGGTTTTTCCGGAAATCCTCGAAGCTGATCTACTTCTAGCAACAGACACTGCCTTTATCAGCTCGAAACCCAAAATAGTATTGTGTTGTCTCTTAGGGACTGAAACCCACTAATATACATTATGGATTTCTATAAACGTACACATATAAACTACCGATAAAGAACTTGTGAACTTGCCTATAGTGTCATCAAATATTTAAACTACGTCACAGAAACAATCAAATGTAATGAGCTGAGACTAACGTTGAGTTTCTCCCCAGCGTAACCCCAGCAAACATGTTCTACTCCTTTCCATTTCTCACCCCTTTCCAGTGGTGGAAAGTAGTAAAGTATTGTACTTAAGTATGTTTTTGAACTATTTGTACTTTACTTGAGTATTTCTATTTCCATACTTATGCCCCACGACATGTCAGAGGTGAATATCATTGTTTTACTCTCCTACATTTTTATAACATAGGTGTTTTGTGCACCTGAAAGACACAATGCTATAATGCAGTACTGTACTAATAATCTCCACAATATTTCAAGTATCCACTATCCAGTATCCAGCATCTAATTAGTATGTCATAGTAGTAGTTAAATTGGTCCACATCAACAAACTATAAATGTACTAAATGTTTTTACAAGTATAAAAACAATATAATATAATAACCATACTAATAAAATAGTGTGAAAATATCCATTCTGAATAACTAGTACTTTTACTTTAGATACTTGAATTAAATTTAACTGATTCTGTACTTAATAGAATTCTGAAATGGTCCATTGTGCAGAAGTACTTTTACTTTTTCTAAATGTTTATGCTAATGCATTTCTACTTTTACTTAAAGGGGATCTATCATGCAAAATGCACTTTTGTACGTCTTTTATTCATGAATATGTGTCCCCGGTGTGTCAGGGAACTCACCAAGTGTCAGAAAACACAACCCTCTCTCTTTTTCTCCATACCCAAATCTCTAAAAACGGGGCTGCAACGGAGCTGATACAGATTTGAATTTTTCTGACGTCAGAAAAGGGGTTCTCCACCTATATGGCCAACTCTCCACCTATCAGGGGATGGGGGGTTGGGCCATGGCCACGCCATTGCCGCTCGAAAGCCCTGGAGACGCTGTAGTACATATGCCAGGCCTGTAAGTGGCGCTGTAGTCTGCCACAAAAGCAGCGAAGAAGACTTCCCGCGCCACGG